GCGCTCTCCCAGCTCCTGGCGTCGCCGCTCTGCAGCGCGCAGCCCGCCTCAGCGCCGCCGCCGCCTCGTTGCTGTTGTTGCTGTTGCTGCCGCTGTTGCTGCTGCCGCTGCCGCTGCTGCTGCCGCCGCCGCCGCGGTCGCTCCGCTTCTACCGACTTGATTCTTCGACAGCCTCGCACGGCGCCTGCGCGGCTCCCTCCCCTCGCAAGCGCGCTCCCGCCCGCCCTCTGCGCGCGCCCGCCCCTCGCCCCGCCCCATTCCGCCCCGCCACCGGGAGGGGGTTCCGCAGCGCTTTTGGCCGGCCGCGGGTCTCTGCGTTGCCCTTGCTGCTGCTGGCGATAACTTCGCTAGGATCTGGTCCCTCCTGGGGTCCCTCTGGATTGAACCTTTCAAGACTGTTTACCCGCAAAGCTACTTTGTCACTCGGTTTCTGCCAGCCTAAGGACGGGGATTCGGGATCTAGCGTGGTTTAGTTAGGGCTTTTCCGGGAGTCGTGCTTGGGCGTGTGCTTTCACAGGTTAGGTGAAAAACATTTGTTTTGGGAGGGACACGTGGACACTGCCCCTTTTAAGTTTCGGCAACTCAACGTCTGGCACACGCTGTACACGCAGATACGAGACCTCGCAGCCCGATAGGACCTTCGGTGCTGCCGCCCCGCGTCTTTATATTGGGCGACTCGGCGGGGCGAGTGACGTGGGCTCGCGGGACGCCGCTAGTGCGCACGCTCCAGGCAGACGTGCCTGACGCCGCGGGGTTTGGGCCGCGCACATTCCAGAGATCCGGGCTCTGCAGCGGCGTGGCGTCACGGCGCACGCTCCTCCCCTTACTCCCTCCCGCAGGCCCCGCCCCCAGCGGGATTTGGACTCGCTGACAGGAGGCTTGGCGCTCTCCCCATGCATCGCGCGTGTGGGGTCGCTCCAGCCGTCGGCCTGGGCCCTCTGTGGCCCGGCCCCGGTTAGCGCGATGGTGGCCGACCGGTCCTCTGCGGATATTGCAGACTGCTCAGACCGGAGTGAGCTCCGAGATCCCCTCTTTCATCTACAGGAGGAGCTGTGGGTGCTGGGTCTGTTGGTCGGGCGCCTGGGGCTGGTTGCTCTCCCGATGGGACTCTCACACTTCCCCTCGTAACTACGGCCCAGGAGGTGCTTTTGTTGGGAACACAGGCCCACTCCTCACCCTTAGACTGGAATGAGCTGGTTGAGTGTGGGAAGAACGGGGTACTAATTATATTATCTTTCCTACAACTAGATTGGTAGGTGGAGAGGGAGAAAAAAAAAATCCTGCTGACGTTTCTCTCCGGTTGCAGCTATTGAAAATGCCAGGTTGCTTCAAAGGATTAACCGCAAGAGGAAACACGCCCGTAGAGAAACAGTGGAGGAAGCTGCTTAGAGCACACAAAAAAACCTGTTCAAAAAGGCACAGGAAACGTAACTAAGGGCCCGAGTGTGTGTGTTCACAGGCCAATCTTGAGTGTCTTCCCGGGGGTTTCCAGAGAGGGTATGCCTGCTGCCAGGGGCTCCCATCTGCCCCCAGTCTTGTCCTGCAATTGCAGTCCTGCCTCACCCTCCCCAAATAGGGAGAATGGGGCCTACTGGCAGCTGGTGCCAACGGATTTGGGCACTCCTGGCCCCTCCTCCAGGACCCGTGCTTCTGGTCACTCCCCTCCGAGGCCCTGTGCCATTCATTCCAGCACAGGACTTCACTCATCTGGCCACTGGGCAGAAAGGGGGTGAAGCTGACCAGTCTTTTCGCTGCAGAGGCATGAGCTGGTTCAGTGCCCCTGAGAGATGGCCCCACTGAGCAAGAACTGGAACATATTAAAAGAAAATACAACTCACCATGAGATCCGTGGCCTAATTATGCTCATTTACCTGGGAGCGGGTACTGGATGCCCTCAAGGGAGAGCCTGCCACTTCATCTGAAAATAGAATTCTGAGAGACAGTGTGTACTCTGAGAGACAGTAACGATCTTTGTAGAACAGAGCTTTGTTTCTCCAAAAGAATATCATTTCCTTTTTACTTCACATTGCCAACCTAATGTCGAAACTGACTGTTGGCACTTCCCTCCTGAAATGCCTGTTGGAAAATGGAAAGGCAGTTTTAGCCCTGGACTCCTTTACCATAAAAGGATCCAGGACCCAGGGGGTTAAGGCAGGCCCAGGATCCAGGGCAGCAATTCCTTATATTGTATCAAAAGTCTTTCATGCTGCCTGGCCTTTCATGTAGCTCTGAAGCAGCTTTATCGATGTATGCTAAGTAAACATAGCTTTGTTTTTGTCTCCCACCCACTGCCCTCCCTCTCAGCGCAGAATGGAGTTGGATTCCAGCCAGAGCCACTGCTGCAGCAGTTAGCCGCCTCCTCCACACAGGAGCATGGTTTCCAGGGTGAGGCAATGCGTCTGCAATTCGCAGAGACAAGGCAGGAATTGTAATTGTAGCTCATCATGTGATGACTTATGAAAGAGGAAGTTGGTATGTTTTAGTCACGTAGACTCTGCCTCCTCTCTTAAGGCTCCAGGTCCTCAGAAGAGGGTCAGGATCATTGCCGTTCAGAGTCAAGGTTACTAGGTTGGTTGCAGCATGCCCCTACACATTCTCAAGTGGTCAGGCGGGTAGGTGTGCGCCAAGTGTTGGCACAGCAGTGAGTTAAGGCTGGCTTTTAACCAGAACACTGATACAGTGCGATTTGCCTTAAGAACTAAGGGAGATATTCTATGGGGAGCACTCCTGCTGAGACTAGAAAGTCTTTGAGACTAGAAAGTCTTTCCCAGCTGTAATTTCTAAGGCTTTTTTTTTTTTTTTTTAAATAAAAATCACAGTTTAGGAGTAAAAGGAGAGCCATTTAGTGTAACACTGTCAGAAAACAGGAGTAAGGGAAATGGCCCCAAAGGTGAACTGGAGGAAACAGTTCTGAAGAGTTCGTGGTCAGCAGTACAGACCTGACCTTGCACACTGAGATGTGCAGAGGCTTGCATCCTATGAGTGGGTGTTCACCTCTGAAATTGGAATGTGGCCCCCAGGCTCAAAACAGTCCCTGTGCCCTTGTTCACACACCAAAGCCCTGTACCAACAGTCTACTGGGCTGAGTAAAGAGGTACTTGCTGGCTATGACCCTGATGGAACTCTGCCCTCAGGACATGCAGCCTCAGGAAGGGTGTCGCCTCCCGCCCTAGCAGCTGGTGGGTGCTGTCCAGGAATGGCGTTCCTTGGGACTGCCAAATTCATGGGTTCCATCCTATCTCCAGATGTGGAAGGACAGCCTTCATTCTTCAGAGTGCTGCTTCTTTAAATAACCATGATGTTGCAGCTGTAGTAAAGCTTCTTCAACTCTGACCTTGGCATATTTGAAGAAGGAAAAAAGTGCAGCCACATGCCATTTAGATTTTTGTGGATGTCATTGCAGATGTCTTGTGGGGCATCACTACCGTAAAACTAGAACACATGTAATACTCTGGGCTTTTCCATTTTTAAAAACTTACAAATACACATTTGAACACATTTGTGAATACATCTACGCAAACTGGGATATAGTGACATAAATGAACCTTCTGTAATTAGTGGGAGAGTCTTTTATTTTATGGGATAATTTCACTTTTTAAAATTGCAAATATCCTTTTTTAGAAGCACTTGCCCTCTGCTTGACCTCTTCCTGCAGCCTACCTCCTCTGTGCATGGAGAGTATTTAGATATGAAAAAGACTTTTACATGTGGAGGGTCTAAGAAGCAGGCCAAATAAAATCACAGGAGCTCTTAATCATCCACATGTTATTCACAGAAGCTGCCGCCACCAGCCTGTGTGTCCACGTTCATTCAGCTCCTCATCCTGAGCAAAATTTGGGGTCTTGATGTAGGTTAACTACTGACTGTGTCGGAATTTAAAGAGCTAAGCGAAAAGCAGACAAAACAGACAAAGGAGAGATTGAGGTCACACACTTGCTCAGTCTGCAAGGAAATTTGCAGGAGACCTGGAAGAGATTCAATAGCCATTTGGTGCCAGAACCCTCCTATTGGCTTTTTGGAAAGAGCAAGATGAAGTGCACTTTTCTGAAATAATAGCTGGCTGTGGGTTTCACTGATATTTAAGACACTCAAAATCCTTTAAAAGATATCAGTAGGAGGATGCTGACAAAATAGTGAATTAACTTCACTGATAATGTTTGAAAATATTAAAATGGTAAATTTCCTCTCCTTACCTTTCCTACTTAAAAATATACATTTCTTATATACACATTCAGTAGTAAAGGAACTGAACTAATCAGATGATTAGGCTAGAGAGATACTCTGGTTTCTCTTCAGATTGCATAAATCTTTCGCCTTTTTTAAAAGGCTAGAGAGTGACATGATAGCATGGTATTTGTTTCTTTTCTTTTCTTTTTTTTGGGTACCAGGAATTGAACTCAGGACCTTGTGGTTGCCAGGCAGGTGCTTATGCTGCTGAGCTATATCCCTGGCCCAATAGCATGGTATTTGTTACATCTTTCATATGGACACTTAAAAAAGATGTTTTAAGCATAATTCTATCATCTTGTCATTCTTTTCAGAAACTAAAAACTTGAGGTATTGAAAGATTAAGTGATTTGCTAAAGTAATATTAAGGGTGTCCAAAGTCCAAGTATGAGTTTTGTTGTCTAATTATATGGTTTGGAATATTCCATTTGTGTTTTAAGCAGTTTGGGGGCCCAGTAACAGTGTTTATATTTGTTAAGATCTGTTAACAAATGAGTGTTAAGATTTGTTTGTTTCTACCTATGTGTGTAAGAAAAAGGGAAATTCTAAAATAGTTCATAGAACACTCAATCCAAAGAAAAGTCAGCATTTACAACAAATAGAGGAAGGTGACAGGTGAGGCAAAGTTGCTACCACTCTGTATCTAGTGTAGGACTCTACCACACTAAATGGCAAACTATAAACTCACCTTTAATGAACTTTAAATATAAATTGTTGTTGATGTTAGCATGAAAGATTCAATTCTGAGAACTAGCTGGGAAGTGAAATAGTTTTGGCACTACCCAAATTGTAATATCATGCCCCCAACTCTTTGTGATCTATTTGTTTAAAAACAGAGGAAAGGGGGCTGGGGATTTAGCTCAGCGGCAAAGCGCCTGCCTGGCAAGCGCAAGG